TAACTCTGTTGTTAGGAGCTAATGCAGCTGGTGACCTGAAGTTGAAGCAATGCTTATTTACCATTCTGAAAATCCTAAGGCCCTTAAAAATTAGCCTAAATCTACTCTGCGTGTGCTCTGTAAATAGAAAAACAAAGCCTCGATGACCACACAACTGATTACAGGATGGTCTTCTGAATATTTTTAAGCCCATTATGGAGACCTACTGCTTAAAAAAAAAAGATTTTTTTTCAAAATATTCCTGCTCATTGACAATGCACCTTGTTACCCAAGAGTTCTGATGGAGGGGTACAAGAAGATTAATGTTGTTTTCATAACTGCAAATACAATATCTATCCTTTACCCCATGAATCCAGGTGTAATTTTGATTTCAAGTATTATAATTTAAGAAATACATTTTGTAAAGCTATAGTTGTGTGTGTTCTGACTGTTCCGCTAACGACTATTTCCCCATCTGTCTCTCTTTCCTCAGCCCTCTCTATTCTCTGGAACACAACACTATTTAATTAGGCCGATTAATAACCCTACAATAGCCCCTAAGTGTTCAATTGAAAGGGAGAGTTGCACATCTCTCACCTTAAATCAAAGCTAGAAATAATTAAGCTCAATGGGGAAGGAATGTCAAAAACCAAGACAGATTAATTTTGGGTTTTCTGTGGGAAAGTCTGGGTGTGAGGTTCAAACATCGGTGTTTACCAGTCCCTCCAGGAGAGTCCTATGCATGCCAAAGTTTGCGAAACACCACACTAGGGTAACTGGTCTCAGCCACACACAAACTGTTAGAAAACACAGTCGTCTTTCACAGACCTTTGGTCTTTTATGTTAGGCCTGCCCAACTAGAATTCTTTCTTAAAAGTCATTTTATTCCTTAAGTCCTATTTCCTGTCTTTGCTCCTGAACCTTGACTGAGGCTACCCTAATATTCTCCAGTTTCAAATCCTGGGGAGAAGGAATAAGAAAACCTCATTATTCAAGCAACTATTTTCTCTCCTGCAATTGCCTTCTTCAAACCTGGTATTTCAGGGAATCACCACTTAATTAAGTCCCTCCCAAAATTTGTCGCAACCAAATCCTACAACAGAGGCTACAAATGTCACCTATGTTTGTATAACAAAGAAGGTCACTCCTTTAATCAATCAAAGAAAATCCAGGCAAAATTATACTCTCACACAATATTTCGGTTTTGTTTTTTTTTTTTCCAGCGGAAGTACATGATTCCCACTTGTCCTCCAACTCTAGGAAAGCTTTTGAACTGTGTGAAAATGACAGGCCATAGGCCCAAGCGGCTGAATCTGTAGATCAACTCTCTTTTTCTTACATATTTGCCCATGAATGCCACCAGCAACAAATTAGTGATAATAGAATTATTTAATCTTGTCAAATACTTTGTAAATACTTACTTTCTCTTTCCCTTATATGTTTTCAAAGAAACGAATATTCTACACACATAACAATCAATTTACTGTATAATTTCATAAGTCAGTAATAATCTGTAGTCAAAGTACAACTCATAAAGAAAACTGAAAAATACTTACATTAGTTTAATGTAAAGAGAGAAAAAACTCAACAGTTTGATTATTGCTTTCTTCAAACTCCATTAGCTAGAACAATATAATAAATGAAATTCAAATATTAATTGTTGATTCAAAATTTCCATAGAGATAGCCAATAAGGGCGTACAATTTTTATAGCTACTAAAATAGTTAATGCTGCTTTGCCTTTCTGTAAAATTTAGCAAATGACAGATTTCTTTTAAGTAGAAACTAGAGTATAGTGCAGTATGTGTGTTACTATTAACGGTGATAGAATCTTATGAATACCGCTAAGGATTTTAAGCATCAGCTGTATACAGAGCCAGGTCAGCCATCATGTGTACCAAGATGACCTTCCATTGAGACTCTGCCACACTTAGCTCTCCCAGAACAAAGTCTACTATTTTGTGGCTATTGGCCCTCTTCAACTACCAACAGAGCTGGTTACTAAGATTTACAGTCACGTGTCACTTTACAATGGGGACACATTCTGAGAAATGCATTGTTAGGCAATTTCTTCATTATGCAAACATCACAGAGTATACTTACACAAACCTAGGTAGTATTACCTTCTACACACCTAGGCTATATGGTATATATTGCTCCTAGGTTTTAAATCTGTGCAGCAAACTACTGTACTGAATTCTGTAGGGACTGTTGCGGGCAATTGTGTGCAATGATAAGTATTTGTGCATCTTAACATATCTAAACATAGAAAATGTTCAGTTAAAATATGATATTATAATCTTATGAGACCACTGTCATATGTGTGGTTGGTCTGTCATTGAACAAAATGCCATTCTGCAGCACATGACTCTACTTTATTTCTTTGTGTGACCATTAAGGTTATTATAAACTATTATAAGCAAAAGTTCTTATTTATAAAAACAATATTGTATTCACTTGCTTAAATGACAGAAATTTCAAGATTTTTTTCTTTTTCAACTAAGTCAATTCAAGAAATCATGGGGTGAAAAATGGTAATGTACCATTAAGTGAAATTGAAAGATAATAAACAAAGTTCATTTTAATCAGTAATTTCCATTTTTTTCCACATCAAAACTTTTGCCAAGGCAATTAATAATACAAATATTAATTAACTGTATTCTTTCTTCTACAATATATGAAATAGTCAAAGGGTAGCAGCAAGGAAGAAAAGGATGTGGTAGCTGGACATGTCAAAACAGACCACCATCAGTGATCCAGAGTTGTTTACAAGTGGAACTTCAGTTTTTAATATTCCTGAAGTTCTATAAAACAGATTTCCATTCAAAATACTTCAAAGCACCAAACACTTTTGTCATGAAATTATAAAAAAGAAAAAGCCTGCACCTTGGAGACAGATCTGTACATAAATTCCAACTGTGTGAACTTTGGCAATTCAATCAATGTCTTGAACATCATCATATCTACAAATTGTTCTCTACCACATGGGAGCTGGTGCAAGGATTGTCTTAAATGAGAGAAGCGAAGTATCTCATGTGGCATTTGGCACCTGATAGGAATTCAATAAATGGTAAATATCAACGTAATTTTGAATAGAATAATTAAGCAACCCTTTCCATTTATACCTACCCTCTCATAATCCACTCCCAATCACACACATGAATAAAAAGATTTCATGGTCTTTTATCTCTGCAATCTATATTAATTCTAAAACAAAAACATCTACATAAGCTAATGCACCCTGCTGCCTTAGCTACTTCCTGAAAACTAGCCAGGAAGTTAGCAGGTAAGTGTTCCTTTTAGGTCACCAGTTAATACAGGTGTTTTAGGTTCCTGGAAGCTTTGATCTCAGAGGAAAAACATTTCAGAGAATCTGAGAGAGCATCGGGTCAACCATAATGAGTCTGAGACCAGATGCTAGTCATAATTTTAGGCCAGCTGCTACCTCCTTTTGATTTTGAACAAAGACCTACCCTCTGAGAACATAGCTCTCCTTCAACCTAGGAATTGTTATCAGAGGGAACTATATGAAACTGATTTTGGCAAGATTTAAAAGTCATACTGGGATGTAGCATAACTGTAGTGAAATGAGGTCTTGGGTAAGATAGGGATTTGACAAAACAGTATTGAGAGAAGATAAATCTGAGACGTACACTTGGTCAATGATAAAGTTGTTAAGCTTGGAGAAACATAGTACTTTCAAATAAGACTCTCAGAACTTCAGTTAAGTTTTATCCCCACTTGACAGCATGCCGCAGTAGGTAACACCCAAGCACTAAAATCAAACAAACAAGTTTGAAGCTTACTTATGCTACATTCCAACTATGTGATTTTGGGCAATTTATGTCCATCATCTATGTTTTATTTTTCTCCTATTTAAATTGGTGGAGATAATAGCACCTATGGCATAGGATTACTGTGATCTTTTTTTTTGGAATTTTAGAATGATTTATTTTCCAAAATTCTTCTAAAAACCAACTTTCTCTTGGTATAACTTACATGCAACAAAACACACTCATGTTAAGAATAAGTACAGATTAAGTTTTATAAATGTATGCACCCATTTAATCATCAGTACAATCAAGACAGAACATTTCCATCAGCCCCCAAAGTTCCCTGATATCTATCCCTCTGCAGTCATTTCAAATTCCTTTTAATGCCTTTGTTTTACCAGAGTGTTAGTCTTTATCTTTGAACATGTGTAAAATTCTCAATTCATTTTTTGGTGGATAATGTACATGAAATTTGAGATACCACTTATATGGTCTGTTATACTAATTATCACTTCTGTCCGTCTCTATTTTCAGCGAGTTTTAAATGTTTCCATGTTTAATTGCTTTTTTATTATTTTATATATCTATATTTTATTGTACTTTAGGTTCTGGGGTACATGTGCAGAACATGTAGGATTGTTGCATAGGTACATACATGGCAATGTGACTTGCTGCCTCCATCTCCCTGTCACCCATATCTGGCATTTCTCCCCATGTTATCCCTCCACAACCTCCCTACCCCCTGCTGTCCCTTCCCTCATCCCCCGCAACAGACCCCAGTGTGTGATGCTTCCCTCCCTGTGTCCATATGTTCTCATTTTTCAATACCCACCTATGAGTGAGAACATGCAGTGTCTGATTTTCTGTTCTTGTGTCAGTTTGCTGAGAATGATGGTTTCCAGATTCATTCATGTCCCTACAAAGCTCACCGGGTCAGTGAATAAAGGATCAGAGTAGTGGTATTTCACTGGCAGCCGGCAAGGCCGGTGGACCGCCCCCCCCCCGCCCCCTCTCAGGGACAGGGGGCACCAGGGGCCTCCCACTTATTCTACACCTCTCATGTCTCTTCACCGTGCCAGACTAGAGTCAAGCTCAACAGGGTCTTCTTTCCCCGCTGATTCCGCCAAGCCCGTTCCCTTGGCTGTGGTTTCACTGGGTAGTAGGTAGGGACAGTGGGAATCTCCTTCATCCATTCATGTGCATCACTAATTAGATGACAAGGCATTTGACTACCTTAAGCGTGTCATAGTCATAGTTTCTCCCGCCATTTTCCCGCGCTTCATTGAATTTCTTCACTTTGACATTCAGAGCACTGGGCAGAAATCACATCGCGTCAACACCCGCCGCGGCCCTTCACGATGCTGTGATTATTAATTGAGCTGATAATATAAATTTCTTAACACTATGCCCGAAATGTAATAGGGCTCAATAGTGGCTATAGTTATCACATGGCAGATATTAGTATAGACAGAAAACCTAAATTCATTGTGACTTAAATAAAAAATAAATTTATTTTTCTTCCATATAAAATAAGTGTTGAGATAGGAAGCCTAGGGCTCTTCCTATTTTTTGTTCCATCATCTGAGCAGTTACAATTCATCTTCAAAGGAATTTAATCCAAAATGACTACAGAAGCCCCAACCATCACAGTTGGTGGCAAGGCAAAAAAAACAAAAGGAACTACTCCTAAATGTCTGCTCACTTTTCAGGCTCCTTCCCATTCTGTAACAACTTTCATCCAACATCTACTTACATCTCATTGGCCAGAGCCGAGTCAAGTCTTGTTACAAAGGGGGGATAGAGAATATAGTATTTTAGAAGTCCAATAAAAATTAGAGTTCTGTAAAAATGAAGTAGAAATGTGGATTTGATAGGAAACAAGCAGAATCTACCACAATATGCTATACTGGTTCTCACTTATCTTCAGTCTTTCACTGCGTTTACTAAATTGGCCATCTCTTTCTTCTATCTGGAATAATTATAAAGTACAGACCTTTTCTCCCTTGTGTTTTTTCTCCAAGGACCCCTCTATTATTCATCATCTCTATGAGGGGTGGTTCAAAAATTTAAATCTCTCAAGTCAGAAGTCAGATGAATCTTTCAAGACTCTTGAAATCTAGATAAGATTTGTTCATCAAGCCTGTAATCCCAGCACTTTGGGAGGCTGAGGGGAATGGATCATGAGATCAAGAGATGGAGACCATCCTGGCCAACATAGTGAAACACCGTCTCTACTAAAAGTTCAAAAAATTAGCCAGACGTGGTGGTACATGCCTGTAGTCCCAGCTACTGGGGAGGCTAAGGCAGGAGAATCGCTTGAAACCGGAAAATGGAAGTTGCAGTGAGCCGGGATTGCGCCACTGCTCTCCAGCCTGACAATAGAGTGAGACTCTGTCTCAAAAANAAAAAAAAAAAAAAAAGATTTGTTCAAATCCCAATTTCAAGATTCAAAGCCTTAACCAAGATTTCTGCCAACTTCCATGGCCTCTATTTTCCTGATGATGTTTGATTTGAAGCTTCTGTTACTCTGAGTACCCTCTTTTCTTGACTATTCCAACCCAGTTGTAACACCCAGAATTTTTTCGATGAAAAAAATGATAGGTACGTAGGTAGGTAGGCAGGTAGATAGATAGATAGATAGATAGATAGATAGATAGATAGATAGATAGATAGACAGATAGATAGAAAGACAGATCTACTGATGTTGATATAGCTCTAACTACCTGTCTACTCTCTCATGCAATATATTTATAAACAAAAATAGGTATGACTAGCAATCTGCAGAAAAACCAGAAATATGACAACAATTTCAAAGGTAATATTTCACATTCATCTTCTTAAAATGTCCATTACTTACCCCACAATGAGAAATCTCCACTAGCCATGTCACCATTACAGCCCCTTTCCATGTATCTCCTCTTTCTACTACCCTTTCCTCTCTTATCTCTAACCTTTTCATCTTGGAAGAAAAATGAATTCATCTCGTTTTTTACCTGGATTATTGAGATAGCCTCCTAACTGGTCTCTCTGCTTTCACTTTGCCTTCCTGCTCTCCACTTCCAGCATAGCAGCAGAAGGATCCTTTGAAAACTCATCATTTCACACCACTCTTCTTGTAGAATCTTTTAATAGAGTCTGATCACACTATGAGTAAATGCCAAAGTATTTACAGTTTGTCCTACATGACCTGGTCCCCTTGAAATTATCAAATGAAAGATTTAATATAACAGTTACCACTCCTGCCTTATTCACCAGCTTCAGCCACAAAGGCCTCCTCACTCAAAGACACTCCTCCCCAGAGTCATCTTCCTCTGTGCTTACAAAACTTTTCCCTCAAGTATTAATCTGCCTAGTTCTCACACTTTCTTCAGGTTTCTGCTCAATTGCCACCTCATGAAACCTTCCTAGACACTGGATTTTTATTTTACTTTAAGTTCTGGGATACATGTGAAGAATGTGCATGTTTGTTACATAGGTATCTTTTTTGAGAAGTATCTGCTCATATCTTTTGCCCACTTTTTGATGGGGTTGTTCTTTTCTTGTAAATTCCTTGTAGATTCTGGATATTAGACATTTGTCACATAGGTAGATTGCAAAAATGTTCTCCCATTCTGTAGGTTGCTTGTTCACACTGATGATAGTTTCTTTTGCTGTGCAGAAGCTCCTTAATTAGATCCCATTTGTCCATTTCTTTGCTTTTGTTGCAATTGCTTTTAGAGTTTTCATCATGAAGTCTTTGCCCATGCCTATGTCCTGAATGGTAATGTCTAGGTTTTCTTCTAGAGTTTTTATGGTTTGGGGTTTTACATTTAAGTCTTTAATCCATCTTAATTTCTGTATAGGTGTAAAGAAGGGGTGCAGTTTCTATTTTCCGCATATGGCTAGCCAGTTTTCCCAGCACCATTTACTAAATAGGGAATCATTTCCCCATTGCTTGTTTTTGTCAGGTTTGCGAAGATCAGATGGTTCTAGATATGTGGTGTTATTTCTGAGGTCTCTGTTCTGTTCTATTGGTCTATGTGTCTGTTTGATATCAGTACTATGCTGTTTTGGTTACTGTAGCCTAGTAGTATAGTTGGAAGTCAGGTAGTGTGATGCCTATAGTTTTGTTCTTTTTGCTTAGGTTCGTCTTGTCTATACTGGCTCTTTTTTGTTCCATATGAAATTTAAAGTAGTTTTTTCCAATTCTGTGAAGAACGTCAATGGTAGCTTGATGGGAAAAGCATTGAATCTATAAATTACGTTGGGCAGTATGGCCATTTTCACAATATTGATTCTTCCTATCCATGAGCATGGAAAATTTTTCCATTTGTTTGTGACATCTCTTATTTCCTTGAGCAGTGGTTTGTAGTTCTCCTTGAAGAGGTCCTTCACATCCCTTGTAAGCTGTATCCTTAGATATTTTATTCTCTTTGTAGCAATTGTGAATGGTAGTTTATTCATGATTTGGCTCTCTGCTTGTCCATTGTTGATGTATAGTAATGCTTGCGGTTTTTGCACATTGATTTTGTATCCTGAGACTTTACTGAAGTTGCTTATCACCTTAAGGAGTTTTTGGGCTGAGATGATGGAGTTTCTAGATACAGAATCATGTCATCTGCAGTGACAGTTTGACTTCCTCTCTTCCTATTAGAATATCCTTTCTTTCTGTCTCTTGCCTGATTGTCTGTGCCAGAACTTTCAATACTATGTTGAAAAGGAGTGATGAGAGTGATCGTCCTTGTCCTCTGCCAGTTTTCAAAGGGAATTCTTCTGGCTTTTGCTCATTCAATATGATATTGCCTATGGATCTGTCATAAATAGCTCTTATTATTTTGAGATATGTTCCATCAATACCTAGTTTATTGACAGCTTTTTACATGAAGGAATGTTGAATTTTATTAAAGGCCTTTTCTACATCTATTGAGATAATTATGTGGTTTCATCATTGGTTCTCTTTATGTGATGGTTCTATTTATATGTATGTTGAACCAGCCTTGCATACCTAGGATGAAGCCAACTTGATGGTGGTGGATGAGCTTTGTTTGATGTACTGCTGCATTTGGTTTGCCAGCATTTTATTGAGGATTTTTGCATTGATGTTCATCAAGGATATTGGCCTGAAGTTTTCTTTTTTTGTTTTGTCTCGGCCAGGTTATTTTATTAGGATGATGCTGGCCTCATAGAACGAGTTAGGGAAGAGTCCATCCTTTTAAATTTTTTGGAATAGTTTCAGAAGGAATAGTACAAGCTCCTTTTTTTACTCTGGTAGAATTCAGCTGTGAATCTCTCTGGTCCTGGGCTTTTTTTGTTCAGTAGTCTATTAATTACGGCCTGAATTTCAAAACTTGTTATTGGCCTCAACACCATTTTTATAATAGCAACGCTTTACCTCCCAATCATTCATCTACTTTCCCGCTTTGTTTCTCTGCAGAATACTTACCTCCTGACAGTCTTCATAACTTGTTTATATATTTGCTTACTTTCTCTACCATCTAGAATGTAAATCTCATGAAAGAAAGAACTATAGTCTGTTTTGATTACACCCTATCTTAAAAAACTCTGAAATACCATCAGTCCTCAATAAATATTCATTAAGTAAACTATAAAAGGAGTTTTTTCACAGACAGCATCTTAGCTATTATTTGTAGTGATAGGGTTTCTGCAGACATCCTCTTTACATCAATTGGTTTATTAAATTGTTTTTCCAAATCAACTCCTTAAAATGAATGCTTTGCCAGCTTTTAAGAAAACAACTTTCTGACATCTTTAAGCCAAGTTCCACATGCCTTTGTGGAGGCCATGGAGGAGCATGGCTCAGATTCCAATTCAAGTAAAAACCAGCTACAAGGAATATAGGTAGCTCATGACCTTCACCTTTAGGACTCACCACAACAGCACTCATGCAGAAGCCACATCTCCCTGGTTGCTCCCTGCCAGTGACCAAACACAACGGGAATACTAGTTCCAGGACATGCACGCTGAATGCAGGACTCCTCTGGTGGACAATCTTTTCTCTGGGGCTCCCATTGACTGTCCAAAACTTGTTCAAAACAGCACTGCAGTCAGGCTGTTCCTATCAATCCGCCTCTTTTCCCCTTCTCTTTTTACACGCATTGCATCTGCATCTGTTAGATTCCTTATGGACTCCTGCTCCCTCCCCCTGTATCTTTCATAGGCATTGTCTTAATGATTCTCTTATACTTCAGATTCTGTCTTGGTGATTGCTTCCCAGAGAACTTGGTCTGATGTAGTCTTTTAGACATTTCCATTTGGATACACTCTAGTCAGCTCAAATCCAGTATGTTCAAAACAAACTCAAGAGAGTCTCATGAAAGTTGGCCAAAAACACTGTGGATCAAGTTGAAACCATTTTAAACAGAGACCTGTTGTGGTGGGAAAAATGGCACAAAGATTTATTACATGTACTGAAAACTATCTCCTGGAACTAAGCATAGCAGCATCCCCAGACCAGAACACCGCTAGTCAGATTGAACTACTCTGGTGCCTGACTACTCAGATATGAAGATAATCTTCTAGATTTTGTACAAAAGGTCCCAGATACTTCAAGTAGCCATCTTTAAATATAATGACTTTAAATAATTTTACCCTAAAGTTTACCAAAAGTAATAGTAGAAAATTAAGTTTTAAAAGACCCAGTTTGGAATCATTTTACCCTGACATTTATTAACGTGAAATAAGAGTCAAAATTTACCTTTTTAAGGGCCCAGGCATTGCTTCTACATTTTGGTTCAAAAAAGATTATACAAGTAGTAAAGTATTTAAGCTGGTGAAATTTTTGTTCTTTTTTTTCTATTGTTTTTCTTCAGCCAGAGCTGTGACATATGGTTGATTTGTGTACTAAGTGGTTGAAACGGCATCAAGTTACTGTTTAAATGTTGCTAAAGCTTCAAGATAGACATTTTTACCTCTAGGTTAAAAGTACAGGAATTTCTGATGTCAGCTCATTCTATGTCACAATGGGACATCTCTTCTAAAAACGACATCAAAAGAGTAAAAATAAGATGGTGCTGTTTCACAGGAGCATGACAGCAATGGTATAGCTACATATCTCCCTGATGATTACAAGGGCTCTTTCCTTCAGATGTAAAATTTTCTTTTGGGTTTTGCTTTTTGGCTTCTGAAAAAATTGTTTCATCTGGAGAGGATATACCAATTCTACAAATACAAGGAACAAGAAAAAACAGGCTTCAGAAAAGTGTATAATCTTAAATATAAGGAACTTGGCTAATTTTGGAGAAAGCTGTAGAACATGTATAAAAGAAGTATGAGTAGCTGACTTGAAATAACTCTACATCAAATAGCTACATGTTAAGTATCTTTAAAACACTTGGACACTATTCAAAGGAAATACAGCTTTTAAATACACAAACTAGATTATGTTTTCAGCAACATTTATTTCTTGCATATACCATCCAATTTTGGTTTTGAGACAGGTTCTGTCCCTGTCATTCAGGCTGGAGTGCACTAGTGTGATCTCAGCTCACTGCAACTTCCACCTCCCAGACTCACATGATCCTCCCACTTCAGCCTTCTGAGTAGCGGGGACTACAGGTGTGTGCCATACTACACCCAGCTAATTTTTTGTACCTTTTGTAAAGATGGGGTTTCACAATGTTGCCCAGGCTGTTCTCAAACTCTTGGACTCAAGTGATTCACCCACCTCAGCCTCCCAAAGTGTTATGATTACCGGAGTGAGCCACCGCTCCCAGTCACTATCCCATTTTTCTTAACCTTCCCCAGTTACCTCCATTAGAATTCCCAATACCAATCAAAGTGATCTGAAGAATTTTGTCACCTATGATTCATATCTTAATAATTTTATGTCAATAAGAAGTTTTCATAATACTACTCAAAATTTTGCGACGATTTTTTTGATGGTAGAAAAGAAAAATTAACTCAGGCTGAAGCAAAGTTATGCTGTACTATTTTAGGAGCACTCTTTCTGACTCAATGAAAACAGAACTAAACACCTCACACTAAGTCCAATAATAGGAAATTTTTGGTCAAAGCCAGTAAAGAACAAGACTGGTCCAAATGGTATAGAGCCTTAGTGCCTAAAGTAGCTCCTGCTAAAGTTCACCATGGAAAACCTAAAACAACAGAACTGAAGTTGGGACATCTTTCACTAATAATATCACCTATAGTATTGGCAATTTTAATACTTGCAAATCCACTGTCAAAAATGTTAGTGCAACAAATTTGGTGAAAGTGTATAATCATTCAAATTCCTCTTTTTCCTTTTCTTTGTGTGTGTGCGTGTGTGTATGAGTATGTGTGTGTGAGACAAGGACTTATTCTGTCACTCAGGCTCGAGTGCTAGATTGCAGTGGTATGATCATAGCTCAATATAGTCTCAACTTCCTGGGCTCAAGCGATTCTCCCACCTCAGCCTCCCAAGTATCTGGGACTACAAGTATGTGTGTGCCACCACACCCAACTAATTTTTTTACTTATTTGTAGAGACCGGGACTCATTATGTTGCTGGTTTTGAAATCCTGGGCTCAAGTGATCATCTGGTACTTTTCAGCTGCGTAATGTTTACTCTTTAACCTCCTTTGAACAATGAAATCAGATTAATATAAGGCAAGCTCATAGAAATACAAAAATGTAAGCTATTTTTAGGACCAAGAATTGATTTAGAAAACCAAACATTTGTTACATCCTTCCTATATATTTGGATTTCTATCATGGACTCAATGTGAATTGGACTTCTGAGTTTTGTGGGATAATGGAATATTCCAAATATTGCAAAAGCATAGGAAGACTCACTCAGACAAACTACTGCCATGTGTCATTTCTTGCAGCAAATTTATTCACGTGTTACCTTGAGTTCTCTGTGGTCTGTCCTTAGCAGGACCAATCTGCAAAATAGATTTTGCTCTTAAAATCCAAAACCCATGCACTCATTATTTCTCTATACCCTTTTCTGTAATGAGACAGGTGCATCCCTGATTATTTACACAGACTGCCAGGAAAAGGGAATTGCAGACAGAGCCAGCATGTCTTTCCAGAGCTTCCTCAAGAATACTCATCATTGGCTGACCCCAGAGGTCTGGAAATGGGATGAGAGTGAGCAGAAGGAGAGCAATACAAACACAAGGTTAGATTCATGACCTGAGAAGATGGCTGACTATAGGCACCTGGCATTCGTCTCTCTCGCAAAACAAAAAGGCAATAAATAAACAACTAAACTTCAACTGAAGTGTCTGAGGAAGAGTGCTAGAGTAGAGCAAGGGAGTAGCGAGGTCCCTGCCGAACACACAGGCCCACCATGGCAGCACAAAGAGAGGAGTGAGGCATCCTGCCTCTAGCAACCCAACTCCCCCAACAAGATTGGCTCAGAG